AACCGCTCTATTTTTTCCCCCATCTCTACTATGTGCGTGCCAATTTCTTCTCTCGCATCGGTACCACACGCAATCCTGCAGACAGGCGCAAGAATTTGGCCCTCCCGCCTTTTCCCTCCCAAGCGAACATTTACAGGAAAGAGAGGAGCGAGTGGGCGGTAAAGCGAGACCGTACCTGACTGGCTGATGAAAAAGCAAACATCGTCTCTGAAGACAGGGGTGTTTCTGTCCAAGAAGTCACTGGCTAGTTCAACCATAACAGGTAATTCAGTCAGTTCTTCCAGAACCTGACGGGTCTGGTAAAAGGAGATGTCAGAAAGTTACGTATTACAGCATGTTTAAAAAAAACCCACACAAGCGTTTGGACTACAAAAAAAGCCGCCTAGTTGCCACACACCGGAAAATATTACTATCAAAATACCATGTGAAAATTAGTGCTGGATTATATTTTAATTACTCAATATACCCACGCTCAAGTCACGCAACTACCCCTGTGAAAAGTGACCCTGCTTCTGGCACCACAAAAAACCTGTGAGGCCATCTCCTCCCTCACACGGAGACTGTTCCTAAATCAGCCTTCGCTGATTATATAACACTATATATATTTATAGATATATATAAAAAATCCAGGGTGTCCTTCTATCAGACTGTAACTTGTATTACTGAAGAACTCAGAAACCACCACCTGTATCTGGGCCAAGCCAGAAAGTTGTTTTGGCCAGTCGATGGATTCCTGGTACCGTTAGCTGACAGAGCTCGCCAAGATGAGCAAAAATTTTCTCTTCTGGTCCTTGTAAATCAGTGAGCACGGCTGTGTTTTGCAGCATTTCCGAGAGAAGCTAAAAGATTCCTCTGCGAAGTTGCAGAGTGCTTTTAATTACAACATTACCGGCTGCCAAGCTACAATCCAACAAGGCTTCATCTCCAGCCATCGCGTTTTAACCGATGATTAGGTCAGGCCTCGAGGGAACGAAGTCCCCGGCTGGCTGTAGGCACAGCGGGGGCTCTGTACGGCACAGAGCGGAACCTCTCCGCCCACTGGGGGAGCACCGCGATGTCTCCACACCATCGCACTCTGCGTAAACAGCAAAGGAGGAAATCCCACCTGGCTCACAGCAGCCCCTACCTTGCTGCAGTGTTTGCGTTCTGCTCTTGTACTGTCCCTTCTCTGCCAACTGTCTTTTACAACAGAGTAGGTTTTGATTTTTAACGCCTTCCATAGCAATGAAAGTCACAGGCAACATTTTCGTAAGTATTCAAGTTCTTCAGCTTTTATTTCCTACTGCTGTTGCTGGTGAATTAAAGGTCTGGTATGTGCAGCTTTCAAAAAGGTCTTCGTTCATCAGTGTGCACTTGCGCAGTCTTAACCGTAAATCAATCCTTAACCTGCTCGACACAAGCAATACCGTGCCGGCAGCGCAATTCCAGCTACAGATCGCAAACAGATCGACTGACCACTTACCGCAACTCCAGCATGGTAACTTGTCCCGCAAGCAATAAGGATTAAACGACGACACCTCTGAATCTCCTTAATATGATCCTTCAACCCACCGAGATTCACTGTAAGCGAGATCCAGAGAGAACAGTTAGGCTGACCAGGTAGCACAAATTCTCAAGGTTACCGGTGCCAACACACAGCGTGTCACAGTCTCCATCAATGACTTTGCAGTAACAAAAAGCAACCCTGCCCCCACTGCATGTAATTCTGGCAGTGCTCCCTGTGAGACACGCACATGGTCTTACGCCACCAGGCTTTAATCTCCCGTGTCACCACCTACTTCCTCCTCTGTTAACTACCGTGAGTGACTACTAGACACGGAGCTGTCAAAAGTAAAGGAGGCTTAATCTTAATTACCAGTGTAGTCATCAAAGTTGACCCTTCCTCTCATGGTATTAACAACAGATTCCGGCTGTTCAAAAATTTCCTTCTGCATAAATGAGCTGAAGTTACCTACAAAAGAAAGAAACAAAACAAATGAGAACACTTGAAAGTACCTCCTGGTAATTTACATTTTTCCTACGTATACAGGGAAAAGCTTGGACCAGTGTCACTACCAGACCAGGTACTGGTCAGAGATTATTAAGCTGGTGCTTCTTTTTCTGCCAAAGCATGAGCCCGTCGTGAGAGCTGGAGTCAAGTTAGCAGAATGTGCTGGTGAAGGGTCAGATCTGGAATGGCAAAAGCCCACTAGGGATCGATCTTTGGAAAAACGGATGCCTGCAAGCAGGAGGCAAAATCCTCAGTCCCACAATTCTCCTCACTGCAGTGTCTGCAGCTGGAGGGAAAGTCCCATTAGATGCACGGGCAACTTTTTACTTTTTTATAGTAAAGCCCCAGAACAGGGGCCCCAAAGCTCAGGCAGGCTGTGGGACTTCTGACTTGGAGATCCTCCACACTCGACTCATCAAGGCCCTGTAATGCTCTGCTCCTCGGCCCTGCTTTTAGCACAGGGATTGGACTCGATCCCCTCCAGAGGTCTTTTTCAACCTGACCTCTTCTGTGACTCCAGGGAGGACCTGTGCACCTACGCAGGTGACATCTAAGCGATTTTACCCTTCATAATTTGCTGAAGCTCCATCTGCAGGGTTTGGACGGCACGTCCGGGGTGATCGCCTGCTGTGCGTTTAATCCGGTGGATGGAAAGACGGCCATCGACCACAGCTGCTACATCATCATCTTCAAGGAAAATCACTCTGTTGGTATGCTCAATGACAGCACTGTAAAAGCATATACCATTTGCCGTAAGCCATTATTCTTCACAAAAAGATGAGGGCTGCAGCCCTATTTATAATCCAACATACAGCTTTTGATTCAAGAAAGTTACTCATTTCAATGGAATTTCTTTTAAAATGAGTACTGTAAAGCACATTTCCACACTGCCAATATAACTGCATTTTTTCCACCTACCTCATTATTAATTTCAGTGCCTGCTTTAAGAAGAAACTATGAAGGCCTTCAACAAAGAGCATGTGCAGCAGCTCCCATTAGGAGCTCGGGAGTGGAAGTCAGGAAGACAGTAACTTGCCAGAGCACGCAGGGTGCCCAACTGTAGGTGGAGAGACCTTTCTCGGTGTTTCCAGGAATAAGCCGTTGTCCCTCCCTGCACCTCATTTTCCCATCTGTAAAACTGGGGACAGCTTGGCCATCACGTCGAGATGTGCTGCAAAGCGCTCCAAGAATGAGGAACTACCGAATACCTTCCCTGCCTGCAGGTTACTTGGGCATGTCACTACCGGAATTACCAGTGGGGTTTAACATCTTTAGTCCGGTTTAGTCTGTACTCTGACTTAGTGGATCGAGGCAAGCTCTACTGACATACAGCAGCTCTCCGTGTTAGCAGCTTTCGTTCTGACCTTGGGCAAGTCACTGAAAAGCTCTCTAAAATCAGAAGACATCAGGGTGTCCTAAGACTTGCCAAAATGCTCTGACGAGAAGAGCTGCAGAGGTCAACCATAGCAGTTTATTTATGTTTCTGGAACAAGTATTCATTTCCCTAATTTAAAGCAAATCCAAAGTTCTGGTAAGGCTGCTGTCAAGTTAGTCTTTCCTCCCTCCTCTGGGATTAAAATAAATCGCCTTTGATGATAAAGGCATTGTGCAGAGATCCCTGGAGAATCAACACAATTCTCCTGACAATTAGCATCTGTCCTGTTAATTTAGATCAGTACTCTCCCACGTTTCTTTTCACTCACCTCTGGAATCTTATCAACAGATGTGCTCAAAGAAGGGTAACGCCACTATTCCAAAGGGAGTGTTCCTTCCTCTAACAGAAACTCTCACCTAATCCACCTCTGTCTCTTTCAGGGCCGCACAGGGTAAGGAGTCAATGTTTGTAAAGCAATGGCCACACATCCGTATGACTATTATTCATAAGGAAACCACATCTCTTGTTCAAGCCTCAGCTTTAAACAGCGTAGTTGTATGTACGCTGAAAGACAGTGAAAACCGTTACCTGGCATCAGAAGCAAAGTAGTACTCCACAGCTTTCTCCTCGACAGGGAAAAGGCAGGTGGTACTGTCAACACGAGACAGGTTGCAGCTTCCCTTCTTGTCTTTACCTAGAAGACACGAGGATTAGGCACCGCGCGGACTGGCACATCTGGAAGGCAGCTGCAGCGTCAGTCTCAGCCAGAGGTCCCAACACCCAGTATCAACATGAAGCACTATTTTCGTCACTGGGAGCAGTCGCAGTAAAGTTAGCGGGGACGCTGGAAGAGGGCAGCAGGGTAGCGCTCCTGTTCTTGTGGCCTGGCTCAGTTTGCCCGCAAGGGCTCTGGGTGCTTTTGAATTAAGTCTGCAAGTGTCATCTTAGTGCAGAGTTTTACATTTAGGGGAAAACAGCAGTAAAAATTCAAATGAAAGTTGATGTGTGGCTCCACTAGGAGAAGAGAACTGAGAACTCAAACTGCTTTATGAGCACTCACATTTACCAACATTCTCCCAGCTGAACCTGTCCGGTTTATCATTTTAAGTTTCTCCCGTGCTCCTCTTTCACTGGGTGACATTCTTCCAGAGCGACCCCACGGTTCCACTGAGCACCGGCAGACGGAACCCAAACCTGGTTCTGTCTGGCTGAGCAAATGTGTTCAGACACGGATCAGGAAATATGTGATTAAGTACCCAGCTGTGTTCCTGAGCTATCAAACACATCCACCTCATTCTGATCCAAAAATTGTCCAGCTGGCAAACCGCTGTGAGTCTCACGCTCCTGCCAGGGAAGTATCCAGGTGTACTGAAGGACAAGAGGCAACTTCTGAAAAACTTGTACTGAGCCTTTAAAAAGAGTTCAGAGCTTCCCCAGGGATCCTTTCTGGAGTACTCTGGCAATTCCCAACACTCTCTCATCCTCCGCCTCCTCTTTAACTGCAGAAAACATGTCTCAGTGCCAAAGCTCATCAAGAACGCAGATGAGTACCAAAACACCTACTGCTCCAACAAAATTATTTGCAGTTGCTGTGCACGGTACGGGAAGGGGTGGGAGTGGATCAATCAGCCTATCTCGCCAAAGGTGACTACTGCTGAAGAGTAACAACATTGAAGTTACTCTATTATGTATTTATTCCGTAAGCTCTAATGTTGTGTTTCACCTGCGGGACACCGATCTGATTCAGGGGTGTAAGTAAAGCTCGTGATGTTTAGATTTATACTTCTGTAAATGCAAATGTAAAGAAAAAAATACTGCTTTCATGTTGATACTCAGTAAGAAGGTTCCACTCAGCCAACGAATTAGAGCCCTCCACTTCAGTTATTAAGTCAGTAAATGAGGAAAACAACTCCTTTGTTGTTGAGACAGGACAGAGTGATTCGTTGCTGAGAAAGGACAGAGCAAAGGTGTTAGTGGCTGCTCTCCAACAGAAGCACCCATACTGGATCAAAACATGCAAATTTTGTTTCTCAAAACGCATTTCCCTGCATTGACTTTATTATGTCGCATTGCTTTCCTGTATTAGATTCTATGCTGAGCTGGAACTGTAATGTGTTCGTTTTGTGCACATACACGTGCACTGGGTGTATATCTTACAAGGAGTGGCTGCGAAGTTACTGTGGGTATTACCAGCAGCGATGGTTGTTATGTTATCTACAGATTTGTTCATAGATTTTCCGTTTACCTATGGATAACATGGGTTGTTGCTCTGCAGCGCCTACCTCCCATTTACTAGCATTTAGAAGTAATGCTGAAGTAATCTTTTCGTCTTTTCCCTTCTAAATCAAAGAATGGAGACATCATGGAGAATTAACACAGGGACAGTGAAAAATGGGCGGGGAGTGAGGGGGCAGTATGCATTGAGTATATTTTGATACCCCTTCCCTCTCCCAAACCCAAACACGTGGCAGTTCTGCAAAGGTACTACAGCACAGATTAATACATCTGCTTCTTAATAGATTCTTCCACGCTTACTTGAGCAGCATTAAAGTTTTGATTTCTGTAAGAGGTGTTTTCAGATAACAGCATTAGACAACTACTGAACTGATGATTATAGTCAAAGATATTCAAATCCATATTTCATATGGTCCATTTTTCAGAAAAGCCTTAGTGCCACTGAAAGGTGAGGGACTTTGGTTCTTAAAATCCCTGGGAATTAGCCTGACTCAGAATTTGACTCTATGAAATTCAGGTTGATTTAAGAGAGATACATTTAATAAAAAGAAACAAAACCTCCCCTAATGTTTGGGTTTGGGTGAACCAGCTTCTGACAGAGCACGAGCGTAGGTCACCTTTCAACAAACTGATGTTTATTTCTCCTCCGGCAAAAGCACATGGACTTCACCCCCTGAGCTGTCAGTGCCCGCGGTTGGAATCACGGTTATCTACAGTAGCTGAGGATCAGCCCTCTCCTCTTACAGAAAAGTGCTCTTCTGCTTCAGGTGTGAGCTTGGCTCATCACATCACACACAGTGGCTTAACCTTTACACAAATTAACTACTTAATGTGAATTAAGAATGGTTCACCCTGATAAATGAGCAAAGAGAAGTAAGTTTCAGCCTCAGGTCAACCTTACTGCTTCTACCAGAAGCTGCAAGTCGGAGTCACCCTCCCATTAGGAGGGAGGATGTCGCTCTTTGACAATCTGAACTCCAGAAGGAATTTTGGAGAATGCCTGCATTAGGATTGGTAGCAGCCTCCTAACAGGGTTTTACTCTATTGTTTTGTGGGGTTTCTTTAAGGTAATTTACTATTTCCTTCCATAATCAGAGCTGCAGGGAGCAGCACGCAGCACAACCTGTGCTGTCATCAATTCTGCACATATGCTGAGCATTATTATGTCAGAGTATTTCAAATGGGATGGGCGGACTGATGGGTGGATTTTCCTGTGTCGCTCATGGTGTTTCTGATCCAGAAGGAATTCTGGTTATCCCACTTGTTTCACTACACTACACGGAAAGCAATAACCACATATTAAAGAGACAATGCGTATTTGTCTCATTTGTGATTCCTTTCCTAAGGAACTGGAGGATTTGTCTGAAATTTCAAGCATTAGATTTTCTCTGATAGGCACCTTCCTCCATTTTTATGGATATTCCATCAAAAGAATGATCCATAGATTGTACAGCTGAAAGTGTAATTGGGGAAAAAAAAAAAACAACACAGAAAAACTTCAGATAATCAATGAAAAAAATAAAGTGTTACATACATACATACATAAAGGATTACTGCGAATTATCCAACATCGACCAAGAGTAAACACAGACAAAGCTGACTGGGACCGGTTCTTCCCGTTCCTTTGCAGCATGCTCTCGTTAGCAACACCGTTAAGAAGTAGTAAAAGCTGCTGCGAGAGCGAGTCCTTGAGAACACTGCGGGGCTCAGAGAACTCGTCCCGTGCCCAGGACCTGAACAGGCTCAGACTCCTCTGGCAACGGGAAATTACGGGATAACTCTTAGCCAAGGGTGCAACTATGTGTCTACAGTGGTAAAACACAGGTGTGAGTGAAAGACGGACGGACAACAGAAATACACACGGCCCCACCAAAGGTAACAGCATTCTACTTTTTTTAAAAATTATACTGTGGAGGGGAGGGGATGTTTGTGATAGTGCAAAACCTACAGCCGCTCCGCACGGGCATTTTGTTCTTGAAAACAACCAGGTCCATGAATGCCAATATACCACACACAAAATGTAAACTCAGTTTAACTCAGTTTAACTGTACTGTTAACTTTACTGAACTGTTCTAGTCTATTTTATTCTATTTGACTGCCTTAAGATGTGTTTTCCTTGCAACCAGTGGACGTTAAAGCTTCAGTTCTAAAACTAGAGACTAACTTAAGGTAGATGGTGGTACAGCATGTGGTTAAAAACTTACTGAAAGCAAATAAAATCTCTCTTTTATAATGGTTTAATTTACAGCTGAAAAGTTTAAAAGTGCAATATGTATTCCAGAGAGCACAATTGTTCGTGAAACCTCTGCCTGTACAGCGGGCTGAGCCTGAGTGGAAGGTGGGAGGGGGTGCTCGCGCTTACCCGTCCGGTAGAGGATGGGGATGTGGTCGGTGGAGAGCTTGTGCTCGCTGCGCACTCCGATGAGCAGGGGGCTGCCTCGCCTGCAAGAAGACACTGAGTTACAGCCCTCAGCGCCCAAAGAGTCGTCACACAGACATCTGGCCTGAAGGGACCATTACTCTCCAGCACAGCAACTGAACTGAACGAAAACAGACCAAGCTCCTCCCAGGTAAGTTGTTGGTGCTGCAAACACGGGAGGCCACAAGACAGAGCGAAGGACTCTGAATAAACACAGCACACGGACATGAGGAATCTGCCTCAAGTTTAGTGGAAACTGCAAGAGTACCTGCAGTCCCACAGACACCTGAACCAGGAACGCACCGGCTGCTGCTCATCGTACGGACCTACAAACAGCATTGGCACCAAAATTCAAACCCTCAGCACGTGTAGGGTCAAACCAACCCGACTGATGGTCACATTTAAAAGGAGAGTACAAAACCTGACCACCACACTGGCCCCGCTTTAGGTCAAACAGAGAACTTGTCCAAGTGCTGCCACAAACGCAAAGACAAAGGAAGAAAGAAAACCATCTCCTTTCAAAGCTCTCACAACCAGACTCAACAAAACCCACACCAGTTGTGATACAGCTGTTCACTAGGAATTTTTTGAAACATTTTGGGGGCATTTTGTTATGATAAATAGAAAACAAGAGAAAGGAAATGAAAAACACCAGCCACCCTCAGCCCAGCATATACAGTGTGACGAGAACATCCTCTGCTCCATCACTGACTAACTTGGAGGGGGGACAAAAAAGAAAAAATGACATAAAGGGTGTAACAAGAACATTCTTTCCCATGGCAGTACTGACCTGGTACCCACCGCCTGGCCAGGATAATGGACGCTTTTGAACACAAGGGCGAAAGCACCTTCCTGGAACAAGAGAAATGCAAACTGGTTATCCTTTCATTTGAGGCCTGGGCCACCGTTTCAGGATTCCCAGCACAGAAGCTGCCCCCATCTTTCTGCGAACAAGTAAGAGATAAGGAGCAGAGCCTTCACAGCCCTCTTCAGAGCCACCAGAAGCTCCAGACAACTCGCTCCGGAAGGGTGTCCCTCCCCTGAGCCCGGGCACCTCATCCTCAACCAGAATGAGTCCTCTGAGCTCCCAGACAGGCACCGCACTCGGCCATCACCCGTGGAAGTGCTCCTGCCCTCCTTCAGAGTGCGGTGAGGGGACTTACAAAGGCAAAGATATGGCAGAAGCAGCGCCACAGCTTTGGGGCGTTTCCTCAGGTGCGGTGCCACCGGCTGTACAGGTGAGCCACCGCAATCTGCCAGCAAAATGTGTCCTCGGCCTGTTGTTACTACAGCTGCTGCCAGGGAAATCACTCAAATCTCCCCAACACTGGGCCGAGGTACATGGTGGACAGATCCTGTGCACTATTTGGCCAGAAGCGACGTGCGGAGACAGCCGCTGTGCAGCGACGTTCCCAGCAGGGGTCAGCAGCTCCTCCCCATGGCAGGGTTTGGGGGACGATCTGAAGCACAGACTTATTTTCACGCTGTCCCATTGCCCCCGTGCTCACTCCCCAACACACCAGGCACTGGCTGCCTCCACATACTCTTGCGCCCCAAAATTTAGACATTTTTCACATGAGTATTGACTTAACAGTTAAAGACAAAGAAAGGTATGTCTGAGATAAACTGTAGGACAGACAAAACCAGTCCTTGGTGTGTGCCACAGAACATCCTATGGCACCGTCTGGCACTGGCACTGCTGGAGTACAAGTGTGTCACTTCCTGTGCACGCATGCGTGTGTCTGTCTGTACTGGGCTGTGTGTCCCTGCCCGTCCCCGTGTCCCCCGTGCGCCCCGCTCCCAGCATTACCAGCTGCTGGATGACCCTCTCCACCAGGGTGGTGAAGCTGATGTCGTCGCTGTCCCGGTTGTCGTACATGTACTTGACCAGTTTGGCGATGCTCTCCGTGTCTGTCTCCGACTCGAAGTCGTACCCTTTGCTCTCCTGCAGCGACAGCACACGCTGAGTAACCAGCCCTCTCCCTTCCCTTCTTCTCCTACCCTTTTCCCTCCCCCCGTTGTCCCAAGTCTCCTTTTTCTTCCTTTTCCCAGCCTTCTTCTTTCCTCCCTTTCCTTTTATCTGCATTTTTCTTCCTTACCTTTTCCTCATGCCTTTTCTTCAGCCTTCCTCCCCACCCTATTTCCTTCCCCTTTTTCTTGCCTTTTGTCCATCCTTCCCTCTTGCCTTTCCCTTTTCCTTCAATACTTTGCCTTCTTTCATCCTTCCTTCCTGCCTTTCCTCCTTCACTTCTCTTCTTTCCTCTCCTTTTTTCCCTCTTCCTTCCTGCCTTTCCTTGCTTACCGCATTTCCTCTTTTCCTTTTTCCATCCTTCCCTCCTGCATTTCCTCTTCCTTCTCCTCCCCTCCTGCATTTTTCCATTCTTTCCTGCCTTTTCTTTTCCTTCCCTCCTCCATTTCCTCCTTCTTCCTTTTTTCCTTCCCTGCTTTTTTCCTCTTCTTTTTCTGCCTTATTCTTTCCTTCTTCCCTTCTTCCTCTGACTTCCCATTTTTCCTTTTCTCCTGCTTTGTCTCCTTTTTCCTCCCTCCTTCCTTCCTTCCTTCTTCCTCACCCATCCTTCTTTCCTTCCTTTTCCTTCTTCATGTTCTCCTTCTTTTCCTGCATTTCCTCTCCTTTCCTGCCTCCTCCTTTCTCTTTTTTCTTCCTTTACCCCCCTCCTTCCTTCCCTGTCCCTTGGACTTCTTTTCCTTCTATTTCCTTTCCATTCCCTTCCTTCCCTCCCATTTCATTCCTTCTTCCCTGTCTTTCCTTTGCCATTTCCCTTTCCTTCATTTCCTTGCCCTCCTTGCCACTTCCTTCCCCTTTCATCCCCTTCTTCTTCCCTTTTCCTTCCAGCTTTCTCCTCCAACCAGCACACCTCCTTCCTTTTCCTTCTCCTTCCTTCCTGCCTCTCCCGCTCACATCAGCGCGCTGGGAAGTGAGTGTGAGTCTCGGCAGAGTGAGGAGAGTGCGGACGAGTAGAAGAGGAAGCGGCACCGGAGGAGCGCGCGTGCACCGGGGGGGAGTACCGGTGCGCAGGAGTGCACGGCCCAGTGCAAAAGGGAGGGGGAGTGGTGTGAACGCAGGGGGGAGTGTGAGCGGGAACCCAGTGTGAGGGTGAGTGTGAGTGGGGAGTGTGTAGGATGGAGAGTGATGGATGTGCAAGAGGACAAGTGAGTGTTCAGTGCGAGAACGTGAGTGTGAGTGGGGGAAGTCAGTTTAAGTGTGAGTGGGGGTGGGTTTGACTGCAAATGTGGAGTGAGTGCACGTGCGAGTGCTCCCCTGGAGTGTGAGCTGGGGAGTGCACAAGTGACCAGGAGTGGGGGAATGTGCGTGAGTGGAGGGTGAGCATGAGTGGGGGAGTGAGTGTGCACACAGGAGTGAGAGTGCAGGAATGAGTGGGGAGGCACGAGTGCAGGAGTGAGCGTGAGTCGGAGAGTGAGTGGGGGGTGACTATGAGTGGGAGGAGTGGGGGGAGGGAACGCCAGGAGAGAAACCAGTGGGGGTGTGGAAGGGAGTGGGAGAATGAGGGAGCACGAATGAAGGGGAGCGTAAGAATGAGTGTGAGTGCGAGAATATGAGTGGGGGAGTGAGTGGCAGAGTGAGGAGTGTGAGTGGAGGAGTGAGCATGAGCGGGGGAGTGTGGAGTGCGAGTGGGCGGTGAGCCCGAGTAGGGAAGTGTGAGTGGGGGCAGTGAGAGTACAGGAGTGAGTGTGTGAGGAGTGCGAGTATGGGTGTGAGTGTGAGAACATGACCAGGGAGTGAGCGTAAGTAGGAGTGAGTGTGAGGACTGTGAGGAATAGGAGGGACGGGGTGACTGGGGAGTGTGTGAGAGGGTGAGTGGGAATAGGGCTGAGTTGGGGAATGGGGTAGTGAATGGGGAGTGGGAGTGGGGGAGTGAGTAGAGGAGTGAGTGTGAGGTGAGTGAGGAGTGTGAGAACGAGGGGGAGTGAGTGAAGTGAGAGCAGGGGAGTGTACGAGGAGTTGGGGTGTGAGTGGGAGAGTTGAGTGTGAATAGGGAGTGTGGGAGTGGGGAGTGTGAGTGG